CAATGATAGGAGACCCACTGATCAACTGGTCTGTTTAATGGCCATGGATAGCCCATGTAGCAGAACATTATTACACTTTCATTCTAAGGGCACAGTGCACGGTAGTTTTTTTTCCTTCCACTTGATGTATTTAAATCTATCTTGCCTACAATATTACTCTGTTTACTCTAAGATTAATGTAACTTCATCACTTAGATCAACTGGGCACATCAGTGCAAAATCTTGTATTGCGATATTATCTGTTAGGTGTTTCAGTAGGTGGAGCTCAGTATGAGCATACAGAGCCGCCGCTTTTAATTGGCTGTTACTTTTTGTCATTTCAGGTTCATTATGTCTAAATTAAATTTAGATGCTATTATACACACATTTGTTTTACTAAGGCACATGTATGCATCTCTGCTGGCCAGATCACCATATGATTACAATTACTCTCAGTTTTTCCAGGCTTCACACCAATCAGGGTCAACGTTACTCTCCAGGGGGTGGTGCTAATGCACCTGCAGAGTAGTAAGAGTATCTGCGGCACTCCAGCAGTTTACTTGCAATAATAACGTTAAGCTTCACAGCTTTCATTCTCGCATCACCCTCAACCAACCAGATCACCGCGCCCTCACAGGCAGTTCCCTTAAAAACCAGCATGATTATTATCTAAACAAAAATTGTTATCAAATTTAAAGTCAAATTCTTAATTCACATGCACTGTGCATTGACATTTTCTCATACTTGTACATATGACCTTGTGAAGATCGGATCACACATTGTGGTACAGGCTCTCATAGTGGTGTAAATGACATAGATAATACATAAATGACCATATTCTGCAACTTCTCACCTTGTCACCAGGTTGTAGTGGGTTGTTGGCTGGGACAAAATCTCAGACCTTTTGTATTTTTATGGAGGTTAAATCTACTTATAACTGTCAAATGGGAAAAGTTGTAAAGCTCTTCTATAAGGAGCTAATAGACCTCTGGTGCTTTTCTGCATTGAGCACCACACAGGCCAGTGGTTACAGATAGAGACACTTCATTAAATAAAATCCATCTAACTTGTATGAGAGGTACGACATGCATGTTTCTGCTGCCTCAAGCTGCCACACAGATGAGCTGATCCTTTGCAAAAGAAAACCCTTATAAGCTCCAGGCAGCATCTCATCAGGAGACTGCTACGGAACACATTATGATGACGTGACCAAAACAGGTAGCTGAGCTAGCTCTAGTGCTGGCAATCTAGTCAGATGAATTTATACGCCTGTTAATATTCCCAGAGCAAGGGCTTTGTTTGCCACTGCTTTGAATATTGTTTTCAGAAGCATTTCCCCTCTGACAACTAAGACCGACACACTCTTTAAATGGTCAAATGTCAAATACTTCATATCGTGTGTGTGTGTTGTGTGCGTGTGCGTGCGTGTGTGTGTGTGTGTGTTGTAATACAAAAGGCCTCAGTCTTTTCCAAGGTGCTATCTAATGACCTGTTTCACTATTGTGGAATTCAGCTTACGACGGTCCTCTTTTCATTGTTAACTGTTATTTGTTTTGTATGTTGTATTGTTATTTAACAACATTGGCTTTTCTTGATGAATCTTTTTGGCTTATATATTGAAAACATGCTTGATTATACCTGGACTGTACTTTTTTGTTGCAGTGTGTGTTTGTTTCATAAACTGCCATTATGTGTATTTTATGGTGCTGATTTGGAACTGACTTGATAATCTGTTTATAGAGGGATTTAACCATTTGTCTGTTGTTCTGTGCAGTCACACTATATATGTACTGTCTTCTACTCTGTGTCACCTATTCTTCAGACCATTTTGAGCAAGAAGCTGAACGATTTGATCTACTACACTACTGTAAAGTGATTCTCTTTTATTTTGTTAAATAATAAATTATGTGATTTTACATGTAAAAAAGGAAATTACCCACTGAGATATGTGGATGATACAATTAAAGCAGAATGCAGACTGCTCTCCTCTTCTTGTCTTTACAGAAAACTCTTATACACTGTAGAAATACATAAACGGATAACCTATTAAGACAAAGTAGCCAACATAGATAAAGGCTGTATTCACTGATAGATAATACTTTTCCTCACTTTTCATGAAGATTGAATGAGGCAATGTGATTCAGCTCAAAATCTGGAAGAAATTTAGTTTACTATGTGCTTTTAAAGGGCAGGTTTGCATCTTCGAGCTCATTCGTTTTTGACCTTTTCAACTTGTTTTAAATTCTGCATTTCTATGAACACCTTACAAATATTGTATGATACACTGTGATGATTCAATTTGAATACTGTGGACTCCCAGTGTTCATATTTAATGATGTTTTGATTTTTAATAATGACATGTAACATTTAGATGAACTGCAAGAGTTTTGAACAGGACATTAAGGATGACAGCAAAGTTCATTCAATATAGTAGATAAACCAAGTTATCCTTTGCTTTCCTTCATTGATGGATACTAACAGTGTTAATGACAGTAATAATAATAATGTGAATCAACAACATCAAGGCAGAGGATAATGTGATGTCAGGGCCTGACCAGGCAGCTGCCTGTACTCAGACATCTTCGCCAAGTGGACAAGATGACTTAATGTAACTAAATGATTTTACCCCAGAGAGCAGGGTGAATGTGAGGAACACTCATGCTGACTGAAAAAAAACACATGAATGCTCAACTTCAAAAAATGATGATTTGCTCTTCAACTTTCAGAGGACAGACCTGTTGTTAATACAGCTGTTAGTTCGTTCAGCACAGTACAACATCTGCTGGTGGAAAAGTCCGGAAAAACCCTCTAGGGACCATGAATATCTCAATATCAAATTTAATAGCAATCCCACCTATAGACACATCATGTTTCTCAAAACCAGAAAGGTCAACCTCGTGGTTGGCCTAGAGTAAGTAGCAGCAGAATCGGGGGGGGAAGCACAATAGTTGGTCAAAAAGACAGAGAACAGAAATAGCAAAGATACTTAAAAAACAGCATCCAGTGATTGATTGGCTAAAGGATCGTGACCATGTAACTGGTCAGATGTGAGTGGAGGGATTTGACAAGTGAAAATGATGGAGAGAAACAGATCAGGGGTCTCATTTTTAAAACAGCGCGTGGGGTTCATACTAAAAGTGTACGTGCGCAAACACCGGAGGAATATTAAACTCTCCTGTTGACGAATGGTTCTCCACGGTGAGTCATGACAGAGTCACAGCATCGAGTGATGAGAAAAAGAAGGGAAACTCTCTGTCACAGAAATCGAGGTGTTTGTTAGTGAGGTGGAGCAGTGATGTCATTGATAAAGAAAATACACTGTTGCTGTTCATACAGTGAGTGAGAGTGAGGACGATGGAGAGAATGCAGCCTGAAATAAAAAATAGATCCAATTCAAAGGTGGAGGCAGAAAAATAATCAGAATGTGGAGGAACTTGTTGTATTGTCTGTTTGTATTTTAATCATCCCAAACTGCAGGATTATTAAATTCAGAGACAACTCTGATGTCCCCAATATATAAAATTTAACAGAATTATTATTAAATGCTTGTGTTTGTACTGGGATGGTTCAGTTCCGTCAGTCGATCTAATACTGGCCTCAGTTCAGCACAAAGATCACAGATCTGTATCAGCTGATCAGTCATCGCTGAACCTTCGTTTCCTCATCATCCTTCCATTCACGTGCATCCATCAGTGTCACCACAGTATTTATATATTTGGAGCCATCGGAACAATCACTTAACACTGTGTAACCTTCACTCAGGGATATTATTTGGAAATTGTTCCAATGTAAATATTTTTTCTTTGTTTTTGAGAGTGATCTCCAGTGTGCTCTGTTCTTATGGAACAGTTATGTCACACGAGCACAAATTACGCTGTTGGTTCTAATGTAAATGATGAATGGGATCAATAATCTGCTTCAGTTCCCCACCTCAAATCAGCTTTGCCACTTTCCTGTCTCCAAAATGTTCATACGCATGGGTCAGAGTTTGCAACGGTTATAAATGGGGCCCCAGGAGTACACAGTTTCAACGTTAACCCACAGAAGAAATTGAGGTGAGAGATCTTCCTCATTGAACATTTATTCATACAACCTGATTTATTGCCTGTTGTGGTCATAGTAAAAAATGATTTGCCACACACCACCTTAATGCCCTGCATCTTCACTCCCCTTAGAGCCTCAGGTCTCAGAAGTGCAGCATGGTGATCAACAGTTTTATTGTGTTTTTCTCTTTCTTGGATGAATACCATTTTTTTTTTAGATAAAAGATAGTTGTGTTATGCACCTCTTCACTATTCAGACAAGCTGACTAGGCTACCAGAAACTAGCCTAACTTGCCTCTCCCTTTCAGGTGACAGTTTATGTTAGTGAGATTCTCCTAAAACAGCAAGAACCCTGACAAAAGACTAAATGAAACTGCTCCCAGAGACTGACTTTGAGTTCAATTTTCCTTACAAAACTACACCTGTATTTCCAAGGTCAAGAACAAATTCTCTTTTTCAAAAGGAATGGATTAGGAGATAAAAATCCTCAAGTAAATTGGTGGCAGTGGTATTTCATTTACATTTACAGCTTGATGTTGTTGCAATGTTTTTATGCTGCTGCAACGTACCCCACTATAACTGACACCACATTGTATTTGCTGGTGATATTAAATGTTATATACACTATGCCGTCTTCCATTATATTCTTCATTAATATGGATTCCAAAGAGCTAATAGTGAAATCTGCATGATGCCATATAATAACATATGAAACAATTACAAAAGGTAGGTACTCTAGTGGAGCTGATGTCCTCTTGAAGTCACTGAAGGACCTTTGAGATGTGTGAAAAGCTCTTTACAACTGATGGAAGTGCACAGATACTTCACAGTGTGAGACACTGTATCACACAATCATGTTACATAACAGTGGGTGTGAGTGTGAAGGGACAGAGGGATGTACAGTGAGTCTAATGGCCAGCTGTAGGTGAAGTTACGTCATTCTAGGTACAAACAAAGCGCTGTATTGGTGACACAGAATTAACCAGGTTGTGACCGGAAGTAAGGTGCAGTTTTTCATAATAAAAGCGCCCAAATTTAACCTAAAAGAACACTTATTTGAGTGCACAGTAACTGTTGTGAGGAAGAACCAGAGACTGTGTGATAAACTTAAAAATGGTGCACAGATTCAGTGCCGGATTTTATAATTTCATACTAATCTTACACTGGATGTATTTTTTCATTTTTTCCATTCACCAGTTCGCATGTAACACATGTTGACCAAAATTCCCGAACCATTCTTTCATGGGTCTATTCCATTTTCAAGGAACTGGCAGTTTACTACTACATTTCTTTACCCTGATAAAGCCCTGTGACACTAGGCTAGTGTCTTGTGAGGATAGTAGGCTACAATGTAGTCAGCCAATAATTTATGATTTTTTGAATGCTTCTGTCTTTATATATTAAGATTTCCACACACAGCATGCAACAGTGGGCAGCCACGAAAGTGCCCGGGCAATTCGGTGCCACCTTGGCAGTGCCCAACTTCCGTCCTTGCTGGACTTGAACCGGCCACCCTCCGGTTCCCAAGCCAAGTTGCTATGGACTGTGCTACTGCCTCCCCATATATCTGCTAGACACATCTAGCACAAAAGCTTTAAATGGTTAAAATTACTAACCAACCAGGCCCAATGGTTGGCCCACTGTTAAAATGCTTTTTAATTGGTAATAATTATCAATAAAAATGAAATAGCATAATAATAGAACTCTGTCAAATGTAATGTATTGTACTTTTTATTCAAATAAGCAGTATTTTACTTGTAATCAAAGACATATGCATTCAATAGTAAATGGTTTTATATAGCGCTGCATATGTATAGCGCTTCTATGATGGGCACTTTGGGATTTAGCATCTTGCCCAAGGACACTTGGACATGCAGATGGGATCGAACTGCTGACTTTCTGGTTGGATGAAAACTGCTCCCTCCGTCAGCCATAGCCGCCATTTAAAAACACGGTTTTGTTCTCTGGGAATGTAGGTTGGAAGATATACCAACCTCATCTCTATGGGGGGAAAGTAACCCTTTCCAGAAGCGCTTCTGTAGAGCTCTTATTTTGAAAGCGAAAACCGGCAGTGATAGGTCATCTTTTTGCCTTGACAGCTCCAGTGCCCGGACAGCTTCTCCACCGCAGCTGAGAGCTGTCCAGGAGGGAGACCACACCGTCGGTCTATGGGGACACTCCAAACCGCTCAGTGTGACCGGGAGCACGGATCCATGTGCAACATCACCCGGGACCCATTTCACCAGCGTCCACTTGTGCGTGTGAGGACGCACTGTGCAGCCCTCGGTGTGCGTGTGGATTTCTCTCTCGTGCGGACGCAGGGCTAGGTGGACGCGTTGAAGTTCGTATCCCTGCAGCGCTGAGGGATGCGCGCGTATGCGGGGCTGCGCAACCACAGGATGCGTGATTGCGCTCTGCTGGCTCTTCCTCTGGCTCCTGTCGGCTCTGGGTGAGAAGATGCGGTGCGGCGCCCAGCTGATCAGAGGATTCAACAAAGACTCTCAGGGTGAGTGACGGCGCACAAATAGGCTGCGACTTTAATGTAAGAGTGAAATGTGCCCGTGTGGGCGCCCCGCTGTGCCAGAGGCTCTGCAGCTGCCCTTACTGTCGACAACACCAGGCAGCTGCTCCCGTCACGAGGAGCAGAACATTCCGCTGTTTTAGATGTAGAGTATAGTCCCCATCTCTTCTGGCCGAGTACGTGCCATTTAGATTGTGCCTGACACCTGCTGGTTTGTGATCTCGTGAGTTATATTGTGTGATAACAACAACAGATTAACAATGAATGAACATGGAAATGTGTTGCTTCCAGGTGCCAAGCTTCTCTGGAGGTAGGACCTGTTTTTTAGGCCTGTTCCTGCCACCCAGCCGCCATGGACCCCCTCCCAGAGTACTCTCAATTCCTGATCCGGATCCTGGAGGAGCTGGACACCAAGTACAACACCATGTCCTACCAGGACCTGTGTGAGTCCCTGTGCGCCCGCTTTGACCTGGTGCACCTGGCCAAGCTCCGCAGCCTGCTCTTCTACACAGCCTGTCTTGACCCTGCTTTCCCAGCCACGCTCTTCAAGGACAAGATGCGCTGCTCTGCAGAGGACCAAAAATCCAAGAAGCTCATGGTGGCTGCAGACATCGTCACCATGTTCAACTTGATCCAAATGAATGGAGGCATGGCCAAAGACAAGCTCCCTGCAGTGCACAGGCCCAAGTTCCATAAGAACAAGTCGGTAGAGGTTTGCAGGTCTGACAGTGATGCCTATAAGTATCAGGACTGTGACGGAGGGGCTGGTTACGAGCACATGGATCCCCCCAGGGATGGACACCACCACCACCACCATCATCACCATAGCTCCCCTCAGCAGCACCCTGTGGATCAGACTGCGTCTCCCTGCTCTAAACAATCGGAGTGCAATAACTGCCAGCCGTTTATTCCCACCTCAGACCCCAACTTCCTTCTGGGGGTCAGCAAGGACCTGAAATGTAGAGCAGCCTCTCTAGACAGACTTCACCATCTGCCCCAGTATCCCAGCAGCAGCCCGCCCTCTCAACCTTGCGAAATGCAGAGCACCTACTTTCCCATGGACATCGACAGCGAGTCCACCACCGACCAGGAGTCTTTGCAGCACATCCGCCATCTTGAGCCCTTCACGGTTCACTCCTGCATCCAGAAGAGGAACATCTTTAAACAGGACTTCCACAACCTCATGGCCTTCTCACCACAGGTTGGATTTTGTAGTTTGTTGTTGAAAGATCTAAGAGAGAGAGGGCTACTTTGATTTTTGGTTGAAAAATATAGAGTTCTCATATAAAGTATACAAGTCCGTTTTTCATATGTTCATTTAGTCTTTTAGTGTATTCAAATGACATGAACTTAAGACATATATGCTCATATGCAGTCGAACATCATTTTTTTATATGACACATTTTGTCTGATAAACAGACAAAAACACTACAAATGTATTTATAAAATTAGACAAAAGTAATATTTCTGCTTAGTATCTGACTTAACACAATAGTTATCCATTAGGTTGAACTGACTGACTAGCAGCACTATTTGTTTCACCTGGAATTAGATTCATAGAAATATCTTGAGTTCAGTGTATTAGTGTGAACTGATTTCAAAGTTTTGATGAACCTTATTCAGATATATACACTGATTTAGGTGAAGCAGTGGAGCTGTGATTTTTGTTGTGTTAGGAGACTAGTTTAGTCATCTGTGCTAAAGTCAGAGCACATTTTGAAATATGGCTTCTTGAATGTTTACCTGACATTCAGAATAAAAGAGCATAGTCATTATTTATAATGTTATTATTATTATTCACTGGTTTGTGGAGTACAACAATCCATTAAATAGATATGAGTGATCCCCTAGTTAATTACAACTAGCAGTGTCACAGTGAGTATTCAAAAAACATCCATCAAGATTAACTTAACGTGTTAAATGATGAATGCTCAATGGCACCGTTCTACTTTTCTATTGTCATAGTTCAGTGTGGAGCTGATTTGATCTACTTCATATGCATATTTTTATCTGTATGTGTTGTGTAGGTTAATTTAGAACAATGCATCAGTTTATCATACATGTATGTTTTGAAAGTAAAATCTTGATTTTACAATTCATTAGCATATACAGCTATTAGATAAATGAGGTTGTTTAGAAAAGAGTGTATTCTAACATAAAATGGAAAAGCCCACAGTACTACTACCTTAAAAATGGACTTAAGTTCTCATTCTCATAAATGAACCTGCTACCCTACTGACATCATCTGATTTCATTTAATGGATGTATGTACCATATGGCATTATCTTAACAAAAACCTCACATCCCTTTTTTATTTAAAAGTTTTGTTGAGGTCTAACTGTTCCCATAACATGACTCTACTCAGGGCTTCCTTATTTTTGTTCTTCATTTACAGTCATTTACAACAGTTCTTTCTTTCTTTTTCTGTTCATTTTATTAACCTATCCATTTATTATATAAAATCCGAGAGGGGCTTCATACTTCCGTAAAAATCTGTGATTCTAAATCTTTATGATTCCGTAGGTAATGTGTTGTGTTAACCCGGTGTGGATTCCTGTCTTAGGTCATCACCACTCCGAACAAGCAGGGCCGTAAGGCTGCTGAGGTCTACCACAGGAGGGAGATGCACAAGCCCGCCACTTTCTTCAACCACAGCTTTGAACTGCCTTACAGCAACCCTTACTTCGAGCCCACACTCAACTCCCCACTCCAGGAACGACAGAGGGTGAAGCACGAGAGCCTGGACGACCTACAGGCATCCACGTACTTTGGCCCGACCACAGTCTCTGAGTTCGTCAGCAGCAGGAAGCACAGTAACAAAGCAGGAAAGCAGCCAGCGTGGTCAGTGAAGAGCCTCAGTCTCAACACGGAAGAGGGGCCTCCAGACTTTGAGAGGTTGTGTCTGAACAGCAAACCATTCAAAGATAACCACCATCGCACCACCAGCATCGTCGGCATGGACAATGAGCAACATTTTCAGACCCTGAAGGAAAAGGTGGCATCTTCTCCTTCTGCTTTTGCAAAGAAAACAAATGGATTAAAAAACAAAGATGTAGCACTGTTGGCAAGTGGTCCAGTGGGTATGGACAAAAGAGAGGCTGCCAAAAGATTTAGGAACAAAAATATGAACAGTCCATCCTTTCAGGGAGGAGACAGCTCCTCGAGTATCGGGACTCAAACTGAGCAGGCTGAGCAGAAGAAGGTGAAGGAAGTAAAATACAGTGACAGAGAGAGACGAGCCTTCAAACACTCGGATGAGGACTCTGAGATCGTCAGTGACGACATTAGTGACATTTTTCGTTTTCTGGATGACATGAGTGTTTGTGACTCTCTGGGAGTTGTACAGTCGTCATGCTACAACAGCACCGGGTCTCTCTCTCAGGTAACGCTGAAGTCAGAAGGTGACAGCTCCCCTGAACGCAACACAGTCAAACTAGCCAAGTCCAAGCTGGACCGCCTCTTCCATTCACTGGAAAACACGGACGATGAACTCAAGTCGAGTGTGTGCAAACTGGTGACGAGGATTGGTGAGATTGAGAAGAAGCTGGAGTCTCTGTCGGGGGTCCGCAGTGAGATCTCCCAGGTCCTCTCCAAGCTCAACAAGCTGGATGAGAAGATCCAGGAGCCTGAGGTTAATGGAAGGCACAGGGAGACGGTGTCTGCATCTGGGTGTAATGCCACCCCTGACAAGTCTCACCCACACACACAACAACATCTCAACGCCACCTTCTCACCTCGTGCTTTCCAGTGCCACACCACGGGCCACAATATCAAGGTGGACAATGGCCCCCTGGGGGAGTGGTGTTGCTCGGATGGGAGTAACAGCAGCAGCCTTAGGGTTAAAGCTCTAAAGAAGAGCATGCTCACCAGGAGGTCATCCCGCTCACTCAATGAGGAGAACAGCGCCACGGAGTCAAAGGTTCCCAGCATCACCAACTCTCCACGGGACTGGAGGACAGTGCCGTGCCACCCTGGAGACGAATGCAAAGACAAAGATAGAGATGGCAAGGACAGACACCTGAAAGCCAAAGAGGTACAAACGCTTCTTTTTAATTCACTTATAAATGAGACAAAAACACACAGTATTTGATCTAAATAAAAGTCGAGGCACATATTATTAAATTACAATAATTAGAAAACTGATGTAGTACAGCAAATAGCATCAAAAATAAATAAAATGTGATGCTATAATGAAACACAAAGAATCTAAGTGAAAGGAAATGTTGAATGCAGTGGGTAAGGAACTCAAACGGGACGCTCTAGCACATTGTGATGCAGACAAGGTTGTGTATATTTATGTTACAGAGAAGTCACAATGTTATTTCTTCACACTGTTTGTCCCTTGTCAGGTGACTTTGTTGGTAGAAACATAGCATGCTTTGAGGTGGCAGCTCAAGATACCTACAATGGACCTGATGTTTTGTCCATCTCACATGCTAGTGTTGCAGTGCAGGTCTCCTCCACAACACCTGAGTTACACAGTGCAGCATTTCACTGCATGCGAGAGTGAGAATTGTGTGTGTGTGTGTGTGTGTGTGCGTGCACTAGAGAGATTGACTCTTGACATGTGAGTTGACAGAATACACAGATTTGTTCAACTCCAACTCAAGTGTGTCTCATCTTATCCCATTAGCTGAGAGGAGTGTACGAGGCAGCATCTCATTTGTAGCCGATACCGACCAATGTGTAAAATGACAAATATAACCACTACAGTGCTCACATGACTCTGTGGAAACAGCCCTCTAGTATCAGCTTCAGAACATATAATACATCATCATGCACAGTGGATGACTGCTTTCCGTCTTTGCCACTGAGCACTGCAGGGACTGGTTCTGGGTCACAGTCTGGTCAATAGCCTTGTGGAAAAAAGACTTGCATTGCATTGCAGGCACAACCAAGGCCTCTGGTTGTCAAGAAAATCCCTGTGCAAATACATTCAGTATGAGTATCTTTATTTTATTAAAACCAAAACAGCCAGTACTTAAATAAGAGCACACTCATTAGGAGACAGAATGAACATGACGTTCGAGTGAGCGCAGTTAACAAACACACTCGACTTGTCTGCTGCATTTGACACAGTAGATCATAAGATCTTTTTACACAGACTCAAAAGTTGGATTGGTATCAAAGGCACAGCTCTAAACTGGTTCAGAACATATTTTATTAGCCTCGGTGACCATGTTCCACAAGCCATAATAACCTTTTCGTCATTCCACAGGGTTCAATTCTTAGTCCTTAACTGTTTTGCTTATGTATGACACCACTGGGAAAAATGATCAGTGACGGTGGTGTAAACTATCATTGTCATGCTGATGATACTCAGTTATATCTATCTGTAGGGCCAGAGGACTCTGATGCTTCAAACAAAGTTATAAATTGTCTGTCCAGCGTGGATCGATGGATGAGCAACAATATTCTCAATTTAAACCAAGACAAAACAGAAATTCTTGTAATTGGTAATGATGATCAGAGACAAAAGATTATTAGTAAACTTGGAAGTCTGGCGCATCAAATCACATTTTGTTGAATCAGAACTAGGATTTTAATCCACACTAACAATGTCACAAAGATTTCATTTTATCATTTAAGAAATATTTCAAGAGTAAGACTGTACCTCACTCTGGAAAATGCTAAAAAGGTGACTCATGCTTTTATACTTTCTAGCCGAGACTACTGTAATTCACTATATTCAGGTTTACCAAAAAAGTCCATTGATCTACTTCAGCTTGTAAAAAATTCAGCAGCCATGAAAAAGAACCTGTGGTAGGTGTTTAGTTTGTCCAGTCTGGACTAATGTAAAAAACATGGCGGCCTCCGTAGAGAGGGTCCTCTCTTTTGTGGGGTAAAGAAAACTACTATTCATACAATTTAGATTAAACAAACTAGTAAAAACATCATGAGGATTATTCTACATTCAATTTCTGCCAATAGATCCCTTTCATCTAAATCTTACACATTGTCTTTATTCTATTTTTAAAAAAATCCTAAATCTTTGTTTTATTGCTAACATGTTGTTATTCATCTATTTAATCTCTTTGATTTTATTGTAAAGCACTTTGAGCTGCATTTATGTATAAAAGGTGCTGTATAAATAAAATGTATTATTATTATTATTATTAGCACCCTGCATTCAGCTGCCGCTTGAGTTTATTTTGCTCTGTTTAGTTTCACCCACAGACCTCGTTTTTTTTCCAAGTCTCTTGTTCATTTCAACCTTCTCTGCAGTTGTCCATTCTTCTTACATGTGCAGGCTGTTAAGGGAAATTCCACCCCAATACTCAGAACACCTAATAACAAACAGGGTTATGTCTACATGTTGTGTTGTTAATCTATTTAACAAGTCAGAATCATTTAAAATACCCTTAATTATTCAAATAATAATTATTACATACTGGAATGACGATGCCAAATGTCATTCTGTTGTGCACTGAAGATATTGTCTAACATCCGGGCCACACTGACTGCGTGAGCAGCACAGCTCACGTGCCTGAGACGCGCTGCTCTGTTTCATGTGTGTTTCTCATGAAACACACATGTTGCTCTATTGTTACAAATCACAATGATTAGCTTCCTTGTCTGTTTATGTCCCCAGAGGCTGGGAGCCACACATACAGAGTATAGTTTTAATAGAGTTCAGTCAGACAACTCACAAAGCAGATCATTGATCCACTTCATCATTAACATTGGAATCAACAGTGTTATTTGTGCTCGTGTGACATAACTGTTCTATGAGAATCATCGATTGGAAAAGATATAAAACAACTTACACCAAATTACATTAAACAGCAGAGCTGAGTCACTTTCTTTTCTCTCTCTCTCTCTCTCCATTTCCAGGCAGAGCGTGAGCGTCAATATGAGCTTTCCCAGGCCCACCTGCCCCCCAACGCCCACCCGGCCCTGATCGAACAGGTTTTCTCACCGCACCCCTTCACCCCCTCCATCAAGGCCCATGTGAAAGGCAGTCACCTGTACACTGACCTGAGGCTCACCAGCCTGTCAGATGCCAAGCGGGGGCAGCCGTCCTGGACCATCGAGGAGTATAAACGCAACTCAGGAGGGAAGGGGAAGCAGTTCACAGCCCTGGACGTGCAGGTACTGGACTTACAGCAGAATCACAAGAGGGATGTAAGGGGATACACTAAGCATGCTGCTCTGTAAGGTTAATACCTTTCTTCTGTCTGGTCAGGTTTGGATGGTAGATTTTTTGGGTTGGATGAGTGGGGGTCCTGAAAATGTGACCTACAATCAGGAAGTAATTCACAAAAATCATCATCATAATTCCCATGATCACTTTTGAGGAGCCTCCTCGAGTCTCTGATAAGTGCTGCCTATTGTACAGTTGTCTTTCATGAAACCTCTCCATATTTTACCTACAGGACTGCTAGGGTTCTCTCATCACATGTCTGTGTGTGATTTACGTGCGACTGCAAAGACCCTGTTTACCTTCGACAAAGGCACAGAGGCCAGTTATTGATGGTTGCTATACGACTGTCAGAGTCACAGGAGATTAAGAAATCAATTCCTCTCCCTGACAAGCCTCTGGCTGTAACAGAGATGCACCTAAGCCCAATGACTTCTTCAGATTTCCTTACAGGCTCCCTTAAATGCTTCAAAATAGCTTTCGCTTACTGTATCCAATGACAAAACACTTCAAGTGCTTTTTTCTCTTTGTTTTTCTTGTGTTTTCTGTGGCCTGGCTCTCCATATCAAATAGCTTGGAGTGCTCGGAAAAATGCATCCCTATTTTGAACCCAAATTAACTCAAAATGTCAGCACTTAAAAAATCTAGTAGTAGTGTAGCATGTCTGTGCCTGACTTGTACCTTAACAACCAGAGATTGTTTTTGTTGATAATAACTTGGGTGGGTGGAAAGCTTTTTTTCTGTCAGTCCATCACATGCCCCCTTCTCACAGAACTGTTAGTCCATAAGGAAGAAGAGAACCTTACCTTTAAAGGTACAGTGTGTAGAATTTAGTGATATCTAGTAATGAAGTTGCATGTTGCAGCTGAACACCCCTCACCTCACCCTCCCCTTCCAAACATGAAAAAGAAACTGTGGTAGATTTTAATTGTCATAAAAACTCAAAATGTGTTTAGTTTGTCCAGTCTGGACTGATGTAAAAAACATGGCGGCCTCCGTAGAGAGGACCCCCTCGAAGTAAATATTGAAGTATTTAAATATAAAGAACCTTTTCTGGGGTAAAGAAAACTACAATTCATACAATTTATATGAAACAAACGAGTGAAAACATCATGAGAATTATTCTACATTAAATTTCTGCCAATAGTTCCCTTTCACCTAAATCTTACACACTGGACCTTTAAAAGGGAGGAATGCAGACACTTGAATTTTTTGGTGAACTTTCCCTTTAATGCTGTGCTTAAATACAGTATGCACTGGATTTTGGAATTGACTGAGTATAATTCTTAGCATTATATTACAGTATAATTTGCTACACACAAAGTGAACATAATCCATTTAAAATATATATGGTTCTTTTAAACCACCCAAAATGATTATAGAAAAAGCTTAAGTGCAGCTATTTCCCTTATATTTGTGTTAGGCCTCTGTTCTGTAAAGACTTCCAGTTAAACAAAACTGAGAAAACCAGAAAGGTTTTTGAGCAGGTGCTTCCCTGCCTCCAAAGGCAATGAATATCCTCACTAAATTGTAAGTGCAACTTACAGTGTTGTTTAATAAGTCATACACTTAATGGTGTAATGCTGCATTGTGCTTCTTTACAGAATTCTTATTCCACCAAAAGCTGTTTGCACTGTTTAAGGGGTGGTGGAAAAAAATATTTAAATGGGGGCAACTATGTTAAATAATCTAGTGATATGTTCCATCATCTGACTATATTTGTGTGATATTATGTTCACTGAGCTCTGGAGTTACTTAAGTCAGTACAATGCTTTTTAGAAATAAATTGCCATAAAGCCAAGTTGTTGGATGGACTTACTAATTGACGTAAATAAGAAAAGACATTTGAACATTTTAAAAGTAGTTTAAAAATATATCTTAAGTTATTGTACATACAGTGATGAATGCAATGAAGGAACTGTTTCTAACATACCTGTGTCTGTCTGTCTGTTATGTCTGGGACTTTCCCAGAGGAAAACCACTGCCATACGGCATGTCCACTTAGACACAGACACACTTAATACAGTAGTAGATGCCAAGTTATAATGAGGAGAAAGTTATAAACAGTGGAAGACAGAAATGAGAGAGAGAGGGACAAAGGCATGGTAGTTGGCTAAGAAGCCAAACTGCAGGATACTAAATATAGCACAAAAACTAGGGAAGTTCAAAAGGCAATTATGTATCGCTGCAACACCATGTTCCAACAGTGAAGCCCCCTACTTACTGTGAGCATAACTATACAACCAGGTTTTCTGTTCAAGAGACTAATTATCTGGATTGTTGTGTATTGTTTTAATGACACGCTGTAATGATGTTGAATTTGCAGTGTGACTGACTGTAATGTGATTTCTGATTACAGGGGGTCAGCATCAGATCGACTTTACATTACATTAACATTTACGTTATACTCGTCATTCTATTTACTAATAAGAATGTACACACAGTTTACCAGCTGCAGGGCTGGTAATGCTTGTACTTGTGTGTGTGACAGGTTTAATGGCAGTAAGTATATGTTGTAATAATTAGTTTAGCTTGAACACAATCACATGTGCAAAAAAAGTGGTGTGTATACTTCGGGAAGCTGTTGTGTTTCTATCTTCTAGTTTATAATCATATGAATAGAACAGAGTAGAACATGTTTTATGGTTTGTCCTTCTGCCTGCAGCTCTTTATTTCACAGTATATACAAGAATCAGAGGGAATATCAGTATGCTGTGAGTTGGAAGCCTTACAATGAAGAATGTCTCCCCTGCACTGTATTCAGCAAAGCCATTACAGAGCAGATTGGGGAAAAAAAAATCAATCTCTGCTGCAGAGTCCGTTTTTTGTGGCTATACACTCTTGCAATAACTATGTACGTTGCAGGGACCCATCACATCCAGTAAACATTTCTCTTCTCTCCACCTAAAGAACACATTATTGACTTTATTGACAATATATACCCCAGTCAGCCTTTAGTTTAATATGAGAAAGAGCCTCCCTGAGCATCCTGCTCGTATAGGGTTAAAGATGCTTTCAGCATAGTGGCATTGTCCCTGGGTTTAAGGGGACCTTTGGTGTTTGTTGCGTGGTTTCCCCAATCTCCTCATTTCCTGTCAGCACTCTCCTTTTCCGGTCTAATTAAAGCAGTGATTCCCTCCACCCTACAGCACAGCAGTGAGAAAGAGCTCCCTGGTGGCAGCGTGTACAGACACAAGTTTCTAATTAAGATGCAGAGTGCAAAGTGCAGTTGAGTATACCATGCAGAGTACTTGGTTGGTGGTGGAGAGTACACTGGGGCTCACATGAAGACAGGTTGAGATTAGGAAGAGTCTGGTATCATCTGTTGTCCTTTGGTTGTACACCCAGACTCTGTTCATCTGTCTGCTGGCTCCCCTCACAGCCAAAGCTCACCATCTGCTCTGTCTTTGCCATTTAAAAATGTCTATTTATCGAGACCATTTCCTTTTCACTCTGAGGCATCTGTCACTATTGTTTGGATTTTCAGGTGATTCTATTTCAGACCCTTGGTATTTTTCTCTGTTATTGAGATGGTAATGGTATTATACATTGACAAAGACATCATTTGGGGATTATTTGGACCTGCTGTCCATGCTACACTTCTTCTTAGAGATCATGTGTGTCAGTAAATCTATCAAAATTAAAACATGTCAGACACCATGCTTCATTTAACTGACCAAACCTTGTTTGCTTTTCTTTCCATGCTGGAGAGTTGAGCTAACGGTTTCAGTTCCAATGTATTTGGATTAAAGCTCTCACTGGTACTCCAGTGTACCACTGACCATGCAGTGTGACACCTTTACATGTCCTTGCATTGTGAAGCCATCACAAACACTTAAAGTTCTTAAGCAAAAGCAGTATTTAAATGCGTAATAATAAGCAAACTAGCAGAAACCCGAGGTGGTTGTTCATAAAGGTTGGGGAGAACATGGAGAGGTGACAGACCTTTACTGTGCTATCTTGCATGGTAAATTCAGCATGATGTATATTTCCACCTGATCCGTCTAATGATCATTTTGTTTGTTAAGTGAAACCTGCTATATTTGGGTTTCATGAGGTTTTTGTTTTGGCTGTTGCTCCATGACAACGTCTTTGACTTGTGAGGACATTTTGTTTCGGGAGTAAAACTCAAAAACCATTGTAATATTGTTGAGTTTTACTGCCTGTATTATAACTGATATGATATGACTGGCGTGACCTCACTAGAAGGTTAATCTCACTCTGTTAGATTTGTTGAAACTACAGAAACCCTCTGTTTTCTTGTTTTACACTGGTAGGACACACAGTGGAAGTTTTTCTGTCACAAACTATCTTTGAGGAGTACTAACAGCGGTGTGCAGACACACAAATGACCGCCACCATGTTTAATTTCAGCCCGTCACCAAGTTACAGACTGAACTGACATTAATTAGAGACCACTGCTGATGTACCACTGCTGACGTTTGATATTTTAACCTGCGACAGTGACACTCAAATGAGAAGCTGAATGCTTTCTTCACTATTCTAGCATTAGTGAATCTGTGAATGAACTTTCATTATCAAGTTGTTCTTCTTAATCTGCTGATTCTGTTTAGACAAAGAGGACCTCAGCAGCTTTTGAAAGCAGATCGTCTGACTCTTTTCAGTGGACAACGTTGGTTCAGCACAGTGAAAGCATCACCGCCTTTTTGTTTTTAAAAAAGCTGTTGCTGAATGCTATAAAAAAAATGTTTCGATCCTGAGTACATTTCAGTTTGCACAAATCTATTTTTAGAAGAACTGTGTTGTATTACTTCATCAGAACAACAGCTGTTGTTTTCTTACAGAAGTTTTAGCAGTTTTAATTCACTAGTTTCAGTTTCTTCTGCTCTGCTGTTTCTTGCTGTGCTGGTATGCTACTGTCAGTGAAACGAAACACATCTTTTTGATGGTTCAAATTTGGTGGCTGAGTGAAACATTTGTGCAGGAAGTATTGAGTTTTATTGCTATAGCAACAATTAGAAAAAAAAGTTCAGATGACATGAAAATGTTGGGAAATCATTTGTAAATCAAAACTGTAGCAGCTTTAAAGATAAGAGTGAAAGAAGCAGAGTTGCTTGGTGCTGTCGACATGTATCTTAGAAAAAACTGGGGAAACGTGCAGAAAATAGAGAGGCTTCCTTATAAACTATAAACCATACATATAAAACAGACAGAATAAAGGGAAAGAAAAGTTTGTCGTCTACACTACTGCTTACATTTTTGGAACAGATATTTTCTGATCCAATTTTTACACATACATCCACATGATCTTCATTTTACGCTGCGCTGACAGAGACTGTGAGACAGGACGAGTGTTTGTCCTGGAGCAGCGGTGTTGTAATTATTCATCATTGGAAATCCGCTGAAACAATGAACGTAGCAGACAAACATGAATCATGTTCAGTCGATGCAGAGTGGTCCTCCTCCGTGCAGGAGACCAAACATTAGCACGTGTGCTGCTGCTCCTCCTCCTACACTCTGTGCTGTGTGCATCAACCTAACTTGATGTGGGTGTGACTCCTATTCCAGCTGCATGATTGGTTCAGCGCAGCACTATGCTCATTATCATTGGCGGTTTGTGTTGTCAAGTCATAAATGGTAAAAATTCTATCAATGTTATATGAACCTGTCTTGCATTTCTATCGAGGTAAAGTTATATCGCCATAATTATCGATATCGCTTTATCCCCCAGCTCTAATTTGGCTATATTAAAATGTTCTAATGCACAAACATCTTAGCTCAGTGTACATTTTTTGAACAATTTTCTCACGCAACAGTTCAACAGTGCCCTGGTGAACCTTGTCTGTGTCTTGACCCAGCATCATGAAAATCAGTGCAGTTGTATGTGTGCGATCACTGAGTTTCTATGTCTGTGTCTCTGTTTCATCAGACCCAGGAGTCCCTGAACCCAAACAACGTGGAGTACTGGATGGAGGACATCTACACACCGGGCTATGACTCGCTGCTCAAAAGAAAAGAGGCAGCGTTCAGGAGGGCTAAGGTGTGTAAGATCAGCGCACTGATTGCTGCCGCTACCTGCACCGTGATCCTGGTCATCGTTGTTCCGATTTGCACCATGAAATCATGAGCGCGCTGGGATGGACGACACACTTTTACTGATGTCCTGGTTTGTTTGTGGACTAGGTAAGTGTGCAGCAGATTCACCAACAACACAAACATGTTGGGAATTGACTACTTTATGTTCTCTTGCTTTTCCTGCAGCATTTAGTGCTGGTGGTATTTCTTACCAATATAAAAATGGTTAGGACATATATTGTACCATAGAAATGAATTCAGCAAGTGCATAATATATACTGTATATATGCTGTAGTCTATTGTACTGTCATACTGTCTGGATGGTTGGAAGCTCATTGATTTAATTGTTTGTCTTAAACAACTGCAGCAGTTGATCCCAGAAGAAGAAGAAAAAAAAGAACTAGTTGATGTAGCCAACATATGATTCTTTATTTTTTGTATAATCACTGTACAGTGGATTTTGATCAAATTTATTTTTGATGAATTATCTTAAATGTAAGAATGTATCTATCAATCACAGCAAGCATTTTAAGTAACACAATTTGTTCAACGCTTTTTTCTAAATAGAATATTGTTAAAGTGCTTTAGTTGAAGGAGAGATAGACTTCTAAATAGAATGCAGACACAGTATGACTATGACTTACACAGCCAAACTGAATGTATTGAAAGGCATGAACTAAGGAGTAACTTGAATGTTGCTGCCTTTTCTTCCTTTTTCTGAATTATAACGGCCAACAGCACATCGTACCTGCTCCTCCTCCCAAAACAGTGGATTTACTCTTCTTGTACAGCACTATTTATCAGGCCGACTTTCCATGCCGACCAGGACACAAAACAGAAAAAACATCCTTCTCTCCGAGCGGGTTTGTCCATCCATTCAATGCTGCAATCTCCTTAAATGCCTTAAAGTGCAAACACTATCGAAGCTCTCACAAGCCCACCTGTTTCCCATTCCATTTCAATACCTGGCTACCCATAGTTTAGCTTCAATGGAAAGTAATAGCTGTTAGTTTAACTTATGTATAATGTAGTGCATGTTAGGTGAAAGAATAAGGCTGATGTTCTGCATTCTCCTTGTCGTCATCAAATCCCAAATATTTTTTACTATCACTCCATGTCTTAATATATTACTGTTCAACAGAAATAAGCAGTGCATTTGATGGGGACTATTTCCAGTGGCGTACTGATACAGATTTCATAATCTAGCTAGTATTTCTGGCAGTAAGACAGTGTTTGTGGTATTTAGTTATAAAAAAGGAACAGAGCAACTGTTCAAGTTAATGAAGAATGATGTAACCTGGTACCAGTGTGTGGCTCACCTTTCTAATCTGTACAAGCATTCAAAGTGTTTCACATTATGGGTCACTTTTACCCGTCACTTTTCAACACAATTTTAATTGATCACACAATACATAATCTCAGGGCACATTTCATAGAGAGAGGTTGAGCCCTTACAATATTAATATTATTGCATGTAGACTGGAGGTGCCAGAAATGGAGGCACCGGACCACAATGGACAACTCACTCTACCTCCTGAGCCACAGCCGCCCCCAGAGGGACATATACTTTAAACAGATACTGGGTTAGTTGGATCACTTTATCATTGGTTTGTGCTTCCACATGGGATTTGTTGACAATAATAAAGATACAGCATGATACTAGCCTTTTCCTTTAACCTCCATGTGAATGAAACCCAATACTTTATCTTTCTTAGAGCCAGGTAAACATTATTTTGACCTCTGCCCACCTGCACCGTACCATGTACAACGACTCAACACAACAGCCCTGCAATAACTCCCACCTTTATGAATATATCTCTGCAGTTGTTTAGTTGTTAATGCTGCAGTTGTGTTGGATTCAATTATGTTGAGAATTGTTTGAATATTCTGCTTCCCCCTGTGTATGTAAATTACACAAACTATTTAATATGCATTTCAGTGTTATCCTTTAAACTTGATCTTTATAAAACAGAAAACATATATGTACACAGCCACACAGCCATAACATGGTAAATCCATGTACCAGCAAGATATGTATGGTGCGTCGTCTGTATCTCTTTCATGAGGGTCTGTGATTGGTCAGAGAAACAGTCAGAGCTACATAGCTGGGTTCAAGAATGGGAAGGTCGTCCTCCTGCACTGCTATCCACCAAGCTGAATGTCAGAAGAAAACAAAAAAATTAAAATGAGGTAGCTGGCTGAACAGGTTGTTGTAAATTGACAGAAACAAATGGCTTATAAATGATGTTGGATATATTGTCACTCACTTTTGAATGGTTAAAGCAGAAATCAACAAACAACCAACTGTCTCTCTTTGCAGACATTCTGAGTATTTATGGTTTGTAAAGGTTTTGTGTTTTATACATTTTTTTAAATTATACAATTAATATCAATCAGATCACAAAATGTCCTGAAGGAGGGCTTTAGGACGGTCTCTATGATCTGATTTGGCAATCATTTTTTTGGCTCTGTTTTGTAATTTGAAAACAGTTTTTTATGCATTTCTCTATCTTTCTACACAGTTGGTGTGGTAAGGAACAATACTTTGTTGTAATGTAACTGATTTTAATTTATGTATTTAATGTATATATATATATATATATATATATATAYACATATATATATATATTTTATAGTATAATGAATACCGACAACGAAAACCTTAGTTTCTCTTTGAATTTCTGTACATTATTTTCTTATTATCTGTGATAACTACATGTATGCATGAATGATTAAACAATGCACTCCAGTACACCACCTGCAGAGTGATCATCCAGTGACAGGATACAACCAGGCTGCTGATAAAACTGCATCTCATCATGTGGCAGCCAGTAGTTTTCATTTCCCCCACCTGAGATTAGAAACTCCTGCAGTCTGAACACTACATCAGCGATATATTGAGGATCTGCAGGTGATGTAACAACCTCTCATAGCTGCCATACTGACGGGCAGATATCATGTTACTCTAAGTACTGATAGCACATATAATAAATGCATCAATACTTACGACTGAGGGGAGAACTTTATAATATATCCACTGTGGCAGACAAATGTTGAGTTAAAAAAAAGGAAGTACCAACCCAGACCCCAAACATAATTTCCATGTCATCATCATTTATTATTTAAAACTTAAGAAGACACATTGTGGTGGAACCCTCAGTTTCAATGGTGCCAAGGTACAGCAATACAAAAACACAGGGAATACAATACATTTTGATTCAAACAACAATAAAATAATACATAGTTTAACCAATTAAAATATTTTAAATATAAATTGAAGGTACAACATTCAAAAGTGTATGAATGATACAATAACTGAATGAATAAATGAAAATAACCAGTACTTAAAGGTTCAGTGTGTAAGATTTAGGTGAAAGGGATCTATTGGCAGGAATTGTATATAAAATAATCCTGTGTTTTCATCTAAATTGTACACATTTTTATTTTCTTTACCCTATAGAATGAGCCCTTTATATTTAAATACTTTATAAAAGTTCAAAGTTCGCTTTATTGTCAATTCTGCAAATGCACAGGACATGTGTAGTATTGAAATTGCGAGACTCTCAAACCCGTGGTGTTAGTGACATTGAATAAACAATAATAACAAAACAATAAACACTAAATTGTGGAGTCGGAATGAAGTGTAACCGTGTGTAAAACTGTAAAACTATATAAAACTTATAGTGTGTAAAATTATAAACAGTGCATAGAAGAGGACAGTGCATGAAGTGAAAAACCAGTGTATAAAAGTAAAAATGTAACAGTGCACACACAAGGGGGGGCAGAGTCCAGTTCTACAGTCTCCTCCCTGAGGGTAGCAGGCTGAAGAGGCTGTGTGACGGGTGGGTGGGGGGCGGAGGGCTCTGCGGGTGAGGCAGGTGTTGTAGATGTCTTGGAAGGGGCACAGAGGGACGCTGATGATCTTTTCAGTCGCTCTCACGATGCACTTGAGGGTCTTCCGGCAGGACGCGGTGCAAGTGCCATACCTCACCGTGATGCAGCTGGTCAGGAAGCTCTCGATGGGGCAGGGGCTCTGGCTCTCTTCAGCTTACATCAGGGGCGGGTCCTCTCTATGGAGGCCACCATGTTTTTTACAGTAGTCCAGACTGGACAAACTCAACACCTTTTCCATTTTTATGACAACTGAAGGCTACCACAGGTTCTCTTTCATGTTTTTTTTTTTTGGGGGGGGGGGTTATTCAGCTGTAACATGTAAGTTCCCCACTAAATTCTGCACACTGAACCTTTAAAAACAGTGACAGTCACAATCAATAGTTAATTCTCCCAATTGTCTCAACAGTGAAGTCAGCTTGAAGTTCTGTTGATCTCTATTCCAAGTGTGTGGAATACACTAAAAATCAGATTTCCTAACTCTGTATGAATTTCAGCTCATGTATTCCTTTCAGTTAACATCGTCAACATGCAATGTGGATTGTAAGCATTTAAAAGTGCTAGTGTTTGGGAGAAAAGTATACAGGAAGAAACTATTGTGTGTTGTTCATTTGGACCCACCAACTTCACAAGGCTTCATGTTCAGTATTCAGATATTTCCTGCAGACAATGTTTCAGAACCGGTGAATGTGTTAAAGAAGATATAGTGGCTCTATCATAACTTGAAATAAGTCAGGGTTGTCATTAAAGCAGTTTTATGTCCACATTGAATCTGCAGACGGTTACTGTTTCCTGCTTTGTTCTAATCAGGAAACAGATGGGGCACGTTGTGCTGAATGAACAGTTTATGTCTGATGCCAATAATTTGTGCTAATGCAGGAAGAAGTGCGCACCATCGGCATGGTCTTTCATAACCTTAACCATGTGAGAGCGGCATGTGCAGATATTGTAGAAAGAACTTTAGGTATCAGACAAAAAATAATAAATGATGACATTTGTATAAAACCATAGTTTTTATTTTATTTTCTGGTTTCTTTTTGAGCAGGCAAATACATCACATTTATGTATCTCTTATTTTTTAAATATGTTGCTGTACATATCAAAAGCTCAGTTATGACATTTAGTCATAAGGTGAAAAATAGGTTCAATGAGTGATTATTTGATTTATACCTCTGCCTCTAATATGATGCCGATGGCGATGTCACTGCAAGACTTCAATAGTGCAGTGCACTTAAGGCAAGTATTCTCATCACTCTGTGCTAGGCTACATGTACTAAGATTGTAAATCTGAACTGTAACTGCTTCTTGTCTACAGTGAAGAGAGATTGTTAGTCCTGTGAGTAGAGAGCCAGTGTTTCTTTCACTGGTCGCCTCCTACTGGGCTGGATCTGCCGTCAGCACAGAGAATGTGAGCTGCAGCAGACCAGGAGTGTGTAAATAGCTTCAGGTTTGAGGAACATTGTGGGAGCAGGTGTTAACTTGAAGAATATTATAATAAAAATGTATTGTTCGGACTGTTAATGCCTCTTTTCTTTCTATGTTGTCCTATTGTGTTTCACCTAGGATACCTGAACACATTTCATCATTGCTGGAAGACATTTTAAGTATAGTTACAGCACATATGTGTGAAGATTATTTACGTATTACCATTCTCAGGCCTAGTAAGCAACCATGTTATTCTTCTTCACATTAGTTTTCCTCTCTTTTCCTTTTTTTTATTTTACATATATATATATATATATATATATATATATATATATACTCATTTCATCCTCCAGGTTAAGGCTAGAGATGTCAACCACAATATGTGGTAGCTTTTTAGACAAGAACAAGAAAAGAATTTCAAACCGCTCTCAATCCCATGGTTTAAAACACTCTTATACATTGAAATGTTTGTTTTGTCAGAATGTAAATGTAACTTAACCACAGGAGTTACTATACAGCTTTCTTCTATCTAGTTTGCAACATTATGGCTGTGGTCGAAATCACTCACTAATCACTATATAAGCCTCTGTATAATGTTTAGTGACATTTTGTGCTCTGTATAGCTCTATATAGCAATGTTTTCCAGAATGCATCATGAAAAGTCTTGTACAACCAATGGTCACTAACCGAACAAAGTATTCCCTCACACACTTGTGGCGGGAAGACGATAGGAGAGAGGGCAGCAGGAACGGTCTGATCTGTCATACAAATGTAAATTATAGCTGAGCAGCACAGTCACACATCCACAGCACAAACTGAGGCAAACAAATGTATTTCTAAATTTAAATATGACCATTCAACATGCATACTGTATGAATGTGTGTGAATGGCAAACTGTACTGCAAAGTGCTTTGAGTGGTCATTAAGGCTAGAAAACATCTGTATAAATACAAACCATTTGCAGTAATAAGTTATATTTCTTGTAGTCTAATGCTACATCTCTCATTTATTGTTTCAACGGGCAAGAGTGTATTTGAGGAACTTAAAGAATTTACAAGAACTGACCATCATCAGCAATAACAATGAAATTATTGTCTGTGCTAAAATAGTATCATAGTAGTAAGTATAATCAAATGTTTTTCTTCAACAATGTTTGTGAAGAAACTTTAAGAAATTGGATATAAGAGATCCAACTGAAAAACTGGCAGTATGGTGGTGCAGTGGTTGCACATAACAGAATGTGAGCATGAATGGTTGTCTGTCTCCAGAAGTTGCCCTGTGATGGATTGGCGTCTTGTCCAGGGTAGCTAGTCCATTTCTGCAAAGGATAAACGGTAAAACTGGAATAAATGAATGCATGTTAACAGAGACTATTTGTTATTTGATGCTTATCAAGGGTTATTGAAGTTTCCTATTGATTAATAAAAATACTCCTGCCATCAGCCTGTTACAGCTCTCTGAAATGCATTCAAGCACCATCTATCAGTTTAACAACAACGTGTTGTTTCTATCTTCGCCATTGTTTAACACAGTTCCTACAGATTCTCTCTCTTTAAATAAGTTACATTTCAGGTTAAACGTGTCTGTTTCTGGGCCAGCCGTGAACACGTCTGGCCAGCTGAATGCTCCTGGTGGCCTAAATACTGCCACACAAAGTGGGACACAAGACACCACGCAGAGCTGAATGTGGGTTCTGTCGAAGCAATGCTGTCTGTAGTGTGGTGCATCTGCATCGTACTAAGAGACATCAAGACTATCAGTGTAAGAAGTAACACAAGATTAAATGATGTGATAGAAAGTCAACAGTGTATTGAAAGGCCATTTGGGTGAAAGATGTGAAGCAAGTCTGCATCACATCTGAACTCTTGCTGAACTCATTGCATGGACATCAAATGGGTTCATTATTGAGTGACACAAGTTATTTTCAGTGATAGATTGCCCATTAACAATTCATCTCAGTTTGACAGAACTGTTCAGCTGCCAGAGGAAAAAAATCTGAAAATGATGTACTCCTGAAAGTGTGTTTTCAGCCCCTTCCAGTTTTGTTATGCTGCAGTTCCTCTGACAGCCTATTCGACTTTCCCAACAGCCAACCTCAAGGTGCAGTAACTGCAGTCAGCGTAGCTTTTAGATGCTGTGGCT